CAAAGAGATTCTGCTCTCGTTCTGTCAACCTTTGGCATAGAATAATGAATTCAAGCGGGTTGTCGGAGGTGCTGTGTTTCTATCCAGTATGCTATTTAGAAGCTGTGCACATACATCTGTGGAAACATCTGGTGTGAGAACATATGTGTTTCTGTCTATGAACTTGAGATGACGGAATGTAATATTGCAGTAATAAATACAGGGGAAAAAAAAAAAAAAGAGTTTCTGCTCTGTAGAGTTTACTATTGAAGAATATGCTGGTACTGCATAGCTTCCGTGGAGCTTCTGATGTTCCTAGAATGACTCACATAATTGATAAAACTGCAGAGATCAGGTTCAATGTTCTAATCCAGACTTTTCCTATGTGAGCTGCATAAAATGCTAGTGCAGTTATAAAAAAAGTCTGTTAATAAAAATGAGGAAAATATGTAGCAAAAACTGTAGATGCTGGTTATTGAATTACATATATTAACATACCTACAAGGATACCTAAAAGAATAGAAGCTTGTGTGCTAGTCTCTTAAAAAAAAAACAACAAACAAAAAACCACAACAAAATTATAGTATGCAGAATGACTCATGCAAATTAGATAAATATATGTATTATTAGACTATAAATAAGCAGAATTCATGTAAGAACGCAACTATCAGTATGAGCTGAGTCTACTTAATACAACTAAAAGCTTATATTAGGTGATACTGTTGTATCAGCTGCATGAACAGCAACAATTGTTAGCTTGATTGTAAGTTAAGGAACAGAAAGGGGTAAGAGGGCTTGTGATTCACTTACATGTGAAAGTGATTTATTCATGTGGCTAGTATTAAAGAATGCTACTTAGAACAGCAATTAAAGCATATAGTAACTGTTTTAGCTGATTTGCTTCTGGATTTTGAGGGCTCTGTGCACAACTGCAGTTGTACAGGAGATTAGGTAAACCTGTGAGGTTGTCAAATGAAAGCTGAGCCTAGAGTGTGAACAAAGTTAGTTTTAAGCTTCTGAAGGATGTCAGAAAGACAGAGATGTGTACTTTGCTTTCACCACATCCAGTCTTGCTGTTGCTGCTGCTAATGACTATGCTATTAGGGAGGGCAGTAGTTAATACTGGCAGCCTACACATGGAACTTATCTTTTCATCCTCAGTTTTTATTAGGAGCGGCAATCTAACCATGCCACAAGTAAATGCAAATTCTTGTATTTATGGGGTTTCTGACCTGCAGATTTGAGCTCCGCTAGAGAGTGAATTGCTTACATGTGACAGCATCCAGTTATTTCATACGAAGAATAATGTCAATTCTCTGTATTATTTGATATACATCAGCTCCTAAGACCAAAGGTAGTGAGGTTGATATCCTGTTAGTATTCCCTTGAAGCAAATCGGAAGTTGTGGAGGATTTCCTTGTTGCTCACTTTTTCCACTGCATACAAAAAGGAACCTTGTGAATAGAACTTACCCTGCAGAAGAGTTGAATAAGGGATTCTTCAGGTGTCCCTGTTTAATACTGCGTGTTTTACAGTCATTAGCAACCTGGAGTCAGCCGCTTGGATTCAGCTGTCCTACAAGGGAGATATGGATCCCCTAGAGAGGTGGAATCTAGGTAGAATGACTATACTGATCTGCAAAGGAAAGGCAGGAGCCATCACTCCATCCCCTGTTTTCTTCTCTTTCTCCTTGCCTCCTCCTCCTTTTCTATCTCTCTATGCCATGTCCATCTTCCCAGGAGCTTCCTGCCCCACGGCTGGGGCCTCGTCCCAGCTGTGAGGTGCTCTTTGCTGTCTCTCCTTTGAAGCCTGGCTTGGGAAATCGAGGGAGGGAGGGAGCCTGTGCCCTTCTCCGTGCTGAGGTGGGAGGAGAGGAAGCTCCTGAGGAGGACAGAGGGGAGCTGCCTTAGCCGTTCCGGCATGTTTTCCCGAAAGCACGCTTCTCCCGTTGGAGCCGACGGAGGGTACGTACGGACACTGAGCGGCTCTCCCTGGGCAGTTTGCATTGCAGCCTGCAGCCTGGGGACGGGGTGGGGGAACAGCTGAGAGGGTCTCGGGTGTAAGGCTGGCATGGGACCCTGCCCCGCGATGGCTGTTTTGCGGTGGGAGCGGGTAGAGGAGCTCTTGTAGGCTGACTGAAAAGGAAGGGAGCTGATGAGGTGAGAAGTGTGTGTCGTGATCTGAGCTGGGAAGTCCAGCTTCGAAGCCAGCCCCTCTGTGAGCCGGGTGTGCGACTGCTGTGGTGCCCTCGTGCCTGGTGTCCTTTTGTGGCTCCGGGAAGGTGAGAGGGGTTGGCCGAGGTGCTCCTGTTCATGAAAGGAAGCAGGGTGAGACTTTACCACATAGATGAAAGGCTTTATTAAACCCACTGAAGCCAATTTTTGTTTCTTTCAGAACAAATAATAGCATAGAATTTGTTGTTGATCTGGCTTAGTTATAATAGGTAGAAACTATTTTTGTAGATCTGTATGGGGATCCTGGGACTGAAATAGCAGAGGATGCTGCAAGACAGGAGCAAAGGGCATTAGCAGAGTTGTGTGTGTGGAGGTACTAGCTTAGAAGTCTGCAGAGGTTCTTCTTGCACCATTTCAGAATTGAGTCTTTAGCAGTGGAATAGAATTGTAGAGTCATTTGAGTTAGAAGGAACCTTTAAAAGTCATCTAGTGTAACTCCCCTGCAGTGAACAGGGACGTCTACAGATAGATCAGGTTACTCAGAGCCCCGTCCAACCTGACCTTGAATGTCTCCAGGGATGGGACATCCATCCACCAGTTCTCTGGGTATTTGGTTCCAGTGCTTTACTACCCCTGTTGTAAAAAACTTTTTTCCTTATGTTCAGTCTAAATATCCCCTTTTTTAGTTTAAGCCCCATCCCTCTCAGCCTGTCCTTGTAGGGGAAGTGTTCCATCATTTTTGTGGCCTTCCTCTGGACATGCCCCAATGGGCCCGTGTTTGTCCTATACTGAGGACTCCACATCTAGACACAGCACACCAGGTGAGGTCTCACCAGCATAATACAGAGTGGCCAGATGACTTCCCTTGATCTGCTGACCACGCTTTTTTTGATGCAGCCCATGATATGGTTGGCTTTTGGGATACAAGTGCACATTACTGGCTTGTATCCAGTTTGCCATCCATTAGTACCCCCAAAATGTTTTTCAGTAGAGCTGTGCTCTACCCTTTCATCCTCAGGTTGTATTGATACTTGGGGTTACTGTGACCCAAGTGGAAGGCCTACTCTTAGTTCAGATAATTCCTTGAAGTTAACGCATTGGTTATTGTCACTAATAAAATCCTGTTCTAGCCTTCAGTCTGTTCCATAGCCTCTGCTTCCCCTTACTGCCTTTTCATAAAATTAAAGTTTCAGCAAAAATGCATTTCATTGTACATATTGTGTACTTATTTGCTCTCCCAACCTGCAGAATTATTCTTATTTTTCAGAAACAGTGTTCTGCTCTCTGACAGTGATATTTCTGCTTTGTAATTACACACGTGGGCTTTGTTCTAGAGACTACAGTGCAAGTGATTTATTGTCAGTGTCCAACATTTACTTGAACATTCAAGCGATAGTAACAATAGCCCTGAAGTTTTGAGATATTCTTTGAAAGGTAGCATCAATTCTAAATCATTCTTCTGGATTTTTAAAGTTCCTCCATACGTTCCTGAGATATTTGGAGAATTGATAGTATCTCTAAGTGCATGGTAAGGCCTGTGATCGTGTCATCCGCTGCATTTTGACATTAGAACTGTGCAGGGATTGAATGGTAAGGAGCAGTTCCTCTGAGTAATGCTTTAGTCAGCCCAAAATAGGGAGCTAAATTTATGGCAGGAGAACAGGAGCAGGACTAATCTCACTGATCTCATGCAAAATCTGCCAAATTTCTATGTTATAGGTATGTAACTTACTCCTTACTGAATGATTCAGGAATCAAAACAGTGGCATGCAAAAGAAAAACTGTAGCATCCAGCAAGGCTCCATGGCATCCATTTGCATGCAAGATCTACTGTTAGATTTCTCTGGTTATGACTAGTTTCTGAAAATTAGAAATTTTCAGATTTAGCTGTTAGTTTTTAGGTATTACAGAACAGAGCCTTCAGTTTTCCAAAACAAGTAATGAACATGTTACATATACTGCCTTGGACGTGTATTTTGTTAGTCCTAGGTATGCTATAACTATATGAATAGAAGTGATAAATAAAGCACATGGATATATAGTATTAATATTTAATAATACTATGAATGAAATTCAATTAATAGTGAAATTAATATTAATTTTAAATACATTTGTCATTTAACTATTACAGTATTTTTTTGGGTATGTTGAGGCTAACTTCTCGGTCTTTCCTCCCACATTAGTTTAATCTTTAGATGTATAGCATAGCTCTCTCATTTCAGTGTTAGGAAAAATGTATGGATGGAAGGTTTGCATTACTCTGTAATCAAGATCAAGATCGAGACTATATACAAGTTACATGACACAAGTGGACTACCAAAATATATTGTGAATTGTCAGAGAATTGAGGAGCATAGAGATACTTGAAGCCTCTAATGAGAGCATAACTTTGTAATCACATAAAGTAGTTCTTACGTACAGTAGGAAATACAGACACTTGTTTCAAGGCAAGAGTCTTTGCCACTTCCAGATACTGATCTCTAAATGGTGGTAAGGATCATGCATCTAAGACCTGGGGGTAACAATTCATGATCATGACGCATGATTACATAACAAACATTTCTGTGACTGAGTTACAAAGTGCTTTGGTCCTGTATTGCATGTGAAACCTAGGGTTTGTTTCCAGCCACGTCTGTGCTAATTTCACTTTGCCTTTTTTTGCTGATTTATTCAGGAACTTTGCAGGTTATAAATAAACTGACAGGGAATGATAGCTTCTCCGGGACAAGAAATGGTCTGGAAAGAAGCTAAAAAGAGCAGAAGGCAAGGAAAGCATCACTGGCAAGTGCTTGTTTCTTGTGTTTGACAAGAGTTAGAAGTTTTTATTTTTCCTTTTGTCTCTCACAGGAGTTCTGAGGAGGGAGTGTGTTGTGTCAGTAATGTTATAGACTCTCCTATCCAAGGCATTCCATCTACTCTTGCTTTTGCTGCTCCCAACAAGGTAAAGGCAGTTTACATTCCTTTGTCTCAGGGTTGGAATGTGCATTGGACTACTGAGCAGAAGAAATGACAGAAGGCAAGCTTGTGTGCATGCTTGTGTTACACCTATAATTGTCCACTTCTGTATAAAAATCCTAAGCTTGTTTGTTTAATCCCTTTTTACTGTATATTGTATCAGGCCTGTAGTTTAACCCATTCACAAATATGAATTCCTGACTCCCGTCCTATCAGGTTGCAGGTCAAACTTTTGCAATGTAAGCTGAAAACTATTTAGAGTTGTATTGTCCTTGCTATCAGTAAATGCAGAAAGATTCCTTCTCGTCTTCAGTAAGAAAATAAATAGTTTGTATGTAAACATGGAAAGAGATGCTGGATTAGTATCTGTTTTACTACAGAAGATAACATTAACTTTTGCAAGTGTTAAATTATTTTCCCTGTTGTCCATTTTTTTTTTTTTCCCCACAGACTGTGGACTTGTTTGAGATGATTGAAAAAATGCAGGTAATGAGAAATCATTCTGTCAGGCTTTGGACACTTTTTTTTTTTTTTTGTTTTTTTCAGCCAAACCATCTGCTGCTCTTTATGTTGTCATTTCAATCCCAACAACCTTCAATTTAGACTTGAAGAATATCTGGTTTTCTAGGTCCAAGCTTCTGTATGAAGTCTCAAAACTGTTTTCCTGTGTTCATTTCTAGAACTTGCATGATGGAAGAGCTATACACATTATATATACTGTATACAGAGTGTTCTTTTCAGAATTATGATTTTGAGAGAAAATCAAAGTTGCATAAAGGGATTTCTGGCACAGTCTTCAAAATCTTCAAGAAACTTTCTGCTGGGTAGCAGATGCTAATGACAGGTGATTAGTAGGACATTTACATGTGTTAATGTAACTGCATTTAGCAAGGTCAGCTTTAACTTGCACAAGCAAGGAAGACTCTGGCTTAATTCTTTTATTAAAAAGCGTGCATTCAGATGTATACACTGCAATGTGAAATGAAATACAAAAGGGAAAAACATCTTTCCTCTGCCAAATTAAGTGATAGTATAATACTAATAGTTTATATATCTAGCAACTGAATTTTTAAAGCTTTTTTTTTTTCTTTTCAGATTATATGTTCTCAGAGCATCCTTACAGTCTGCCAATACTCTATCTGATTGTTAACATTTCTTTATAATACTATGGTTAACTGTGATCTAACGTAACACGTAGGATGATTCATAATTCCTGTCTTTTATTTTGTACTAAAATAAGGTTTTGCACTATACAACCTGAGCTACATTGGATCTTTGCTTTGCTCTAGAGGAGTGATTGTTAAGAGGAGCTCCTTTAACTATGGGCAGTCTAGCATGGAATGTGCTGGCATGTTCTTTCTCTTTTCTCTGCAGAAACTCTAATACACTGACTTACAGCATCTCAAGATGTTTTCCCTCAGGCTGAGATACTGGTCATCCACTAGGACCTCCTTTGAAACTGGAAACCTTTTGCAGTTATCAGATCTGTCAAGAATGCCAAAGAAGAGAGACCTTGCAACATCGCAGTTTCCCAGACTCCATTTCCACATGCAAAAATCCCCCAGTGCACAGAAAGCTTGTCCCCGCAGTTTGTTCCAGAAAACTGGGGCTGCCTTGCACTTCTGTGTCTCTCATGTCTGAACCTTATTTTGAGAGAACATAGTCTTTTCTTGCCGCAAAATTCTGTTCCGGAGACACCTACTTCAGAACCTAGCCTTTCTCCTGAGTCTCAGCCCAGTACACTGACAAGTAAAACTCCATGTCACATTAACTGAACACCCGTTTGCACTTTGTGTACTCTATGTACACTTCCATGACCTGCCCAAATACAAAATGGCTATTACTACCTCCATACAAAGGTAAAGTTTACTTCAGCCCTATTCCATTTTGATTTCACAACTCATCAGGTCATTTTTCTTTCTTTTTTTCTTTCTTTTTTTAAACCTAAGTGGGCTTTTTGTTTGTTTGTTTTTGTTTGTTTGTTTTAATGTATAATGGATATCTTTTTCTTTCAGAAATAGCAAAGGAAAAGAAAAAAAAGCATCCTGATCCTTATTAATACTCAATGTTAGTACTGCTATTGCTCAGTGTTAACACTGTTGCTCTGCTGGCAGGTCTTTTCACCTTATAGGACTGGAACACTGTCCTCAAACTTTTGCCCTTAAATATCTTACATTTTTACTGTATGTAAAGTAGAAAAGTTATTTCAGATTTATATATTTCTATCAGATACATTTACAAGATTGTTTCACTGTAAAATGCTCACATAGACGTGGCTGTTATGAATGAGATTCTTCTTATTGTCAGAATGAAGGTCAGGAGCTGCTTATCCTGTCCATTAACCGTTACATTAAGCTGTCATTGAAGGTGTATAAAAAAATAGTTACAGCATCACATTCCTGTATGAGAGTTGGAGGATACTGATGTCAGTAATTAATTATTAATTCTTACATACATTGTGTCAGAGAAAGCTACAATCCTGGTCTTTGGCTTCCTATCTGTCTGTGCAAATTATGCATCTTGTCTCTCTGTACTTACGCCTACTTGGACTAATATCAGCATAGGTTCCCATGTCTTTTTGACTTCTTTTGTTCTCAACCTCTGCTTGGTCAGCACTGAGGGTTCTCATGACTAATGCTTCTGTTACTGTGTTTCTGCTGCAGAAGTGTGTTGGAAGTAAGCAAACTCTTGCCATAGTGAGAAGGCAGAGAATGAAATAGCCTTCGATAAGAAAGGCATTTACTGATGGAGGAAGAAACTAGGCATCCAGTTGCATATGCCCAGTTAAAGTTGCATAACAAGTAAAGGAGATAAACAGGACTGTGCCATAAAACTCTTTGCACTAATCAGATGTAAGCATGGAAAGTGATTCTCATTTTCTCTTTTGCCTCCAAGAGACAGATTTATTCCATTATGTGAATGGAAGGAAGGCATATAAACTTTCCAAAGTCTTGCCTAATACTCAAAAAATTTCTTACTTTTCTTAAACTTTCTCTGAACTTTTTTGCTCTGCCTGATGGTGTGGTATCTTCAAGGGAGAGGGAACTCTAAAACTGTGAGAAAAAGTCTGAAATACTATTCTATGAATACTTTTTTCTATCAATAAATCTTTGTTTATTTATTGTTTGAATAAGGAGTAGCTTAAAGAGACTGGAAAAATATATATGCTTTTAAGGAATTGTAAGGCTTTTGAGTTTTAATGCCAAATTAGGAATAGCCTGGCCAAGTTCCATCTTCACTCCTCCTGCTTATTCCAAACTTCCCAATTTGCTTAAAACAGAAGATTATAAAGAACAAAAACATACAAGTTGAGAATATGGAGAAGAATGCAGAGGGTAAATGAAACAAACATGCTGAAACACAGGATTCACTGTCCATGACTTTCTGTTTCCAGGGGAGTCGTCTGGATGAACAAAGATGTTCCCTTCCAGCTCCTCTCAAGGTCAGGCTCAGTCATTGTTGCCTCCTAAGTTATTGATAATGACAGATGATTACTGACCAGGCTGGCGCTGCATTTTCAGTGTGGAGTGAATAGGGAGCTTAAAAACACTCATTTTAATTAGCTGTGAGAGGTGTTACTGTGTACGTGAAAGACAGTATTTTTCTTTTTCTGATTTCAGTTATTCCAATAAGTGTTTAATATTATTAAAAATCCTAGTTTTGACAAAATAATTGATTAAATTTTTTTCATTTTAAGACCCGTAATAATATTTATGAAAACAAAATGCATTTATTTGAATTGTCTGCTTGAAGACTCTGATGCTACAAGAAAGCTGATGTGCTTCTCTCAATTTTAGGCCAATAAAAACAGATTTTTATCCTTAAACTTTTCCTCTCAATTTTTTTCTGTTCTAGCTCAAGCATGTTAACTTCAAAATTAGCTTTTATGGATTTTTGTTCTCAAAGTTTTATATTACAATGCTGAGACCTGGGAAAGAAAGTCCAACTTAAAATTCTAAAATAAAACTCTAAAGGTGGACTAGGGCAGAGCAGAAGCTAAAGACATAGTTTGTGCTATCATGAGAGGAAAAGAATTTAAAAGATCCCTCACACTTTTGCTAATTTTTGCTAACATTCTCTTCTGATTTCAGACAGAAGAAGAGTATATTCCTTACCCCAGCATCCATGAGGTGAGTCTGTACTTCTCTTCTCTGATTTTTCCCTTGAACTTTCAGCCTACTGGCCTTCTTGGCTATTGACCTTTCAGCTTTCATGTTCTCCTCATGTCCTTCCAAACAGGTATTACAGAAAGGGTGGCCATATCCTCTCATTATCTTACCCCAGTTTGGGGGCTACTGGATTGAAGGGACAAGCCACAACCTCTCCAGTCCAACTCTCTCTGATGTACCCTTTCCCTGGAGTGTTAAGGTGAAACTGGAGAGTGACCCCACAGCCAAGCTATACCGCAAGCATTTCCTAGGGAAGGTAAGGGTAGTCTTCAGATCCCTCTTTGACCTGCCAAACATAAGACTGAACTGTATCTCAGGCTTTCCCTGGTGGATTTAGAAATAACTGCCACTCAACATCCCTTGAACTAAGTAAATTAAATTCATACAGCTGCATGGCCAGCAGTGTGTTAAGTTGATCCTGCCCCTTGTGACCTGTGCATCTTCCTGTGTGTTAACAGAAGTGAAAGATTTGTACCAAAGAATACTTACATTTGGTTAAGAAGCTCCTCTGAGGCTCATGGACAGTAGAGATGATGAGAGAAAAAATGTGAAATAGTATTGGAAATGTATGTGGCATGAGTTCTAGAGGTGACATCTGTGCTAAGAGACAATTCCATTGACAATGAGCGAGGTGGTCCATTTTTCTCAGAATAGATAAGCAAATGAGGATGATGACCAGACATTGGCACTGGCAGTTTTAGGGAACTAATTGGTTCCCGGAGTGGATTTCAGGATGATTTTAACTACCAAGACAAGGGAACAAAACCATGGTCATTTCTGAGAGACGGTTTATAAGGGAATAAGAAAGCCAACTGTGTACACTCACACTGTATCTTATTCAGTGATCTGTCTGTGTGACTGCTTAGTAAGTTTAAAATGGAGAAGAGGAGCTTTGCACACTGCTGGGGACTTGTTCTGCAGTAGTCTGACTTGCCTGAATGATCTTGTATAGTATGCAACTAGAAGCTGTTGTAAATATCATTTATTAGTAAAGCACCCTTTCTGAAGACTTTCTGTCCAGATCTGCTGTAATGGACATGTCCCATGACGTTCTGGAATCCTTCAGTTTGCCAACTGTAATTATTTTTCTGTCATGATAAATTTAAGGTTCTCCTTGAAGGTTTCTGATTTCAGCTGTAATGAAAAATGAAGTGGTTTTCAGTACAGTTGTAGAATTCACTGCTGACCTGATATCATAGGATCATAGAAAACTGAGGTTGAAAGGGGCCTCTGGAGGTCATCTTGTCCATCCCTCTGTTCAAGCAGTGCTGTATCATCATTGTTTCTTTGAAGTATGAATGGGGCAGAGTGTATCCTCAGCAGGTATGCAGATGACACAAAATGAGAGAGTGATGAATTCACCAGTGGGCTATGTTGCCATCCAGAGGGATCTCAACAGATTGGAGAGGTGAGCTGACAAGAATCTCATGAAGGCCAAGAGATATGCAGAGTCCTGCACCTGGAAAGGTACAACCCCTGGCATCAGGACATACTATAAGTTACCTAGGTGGAAAGCAGTTCTGCAGAAAAGGACCAGTGGGTCCTGGTGGCCATCAAGTGTAAATGCTTGCTGTTAAGAAGTTTAACGGTATCCAGGGCTACATTAAACAAAGTATTGCCAGCAGGTGAAGAGAAGTTTCCCTTCCTCTCCAGTCATCACTGATGAGGCCATATATGAAGTACTGTGTCTAGTGCTGGATCTCCCAGTATAAGAGAGGAATGGATATACTGGAAGGAGTCCTATGTAGGGCCACAAAAATGGTTAAGGAACTGGAGCCTATCTCCTGTGAGGAAAATCTCAGAAAGCTAAGACTGTTCAGCCTGGAGAAGGCGTGGGGGGATCTTAACAATCAATCTTATCTTTTACAGTATAATGGAGTATAAGGGAGGGTGCAAAGAGGACTGAGCCTGTTTTTTTTTCAGTGGTGCCCAATGCCAGGACAAGAGGCAGTGGGCTCTAACTTCAACGCAAGAAATCCTGTCTAAACATCACTTTTTTTTATATTGGGCGACAGACCACTGACCCAAGTTGTTCAGAGATGTTGTGGAATCTTCTCCTTGGAGAATTTCAAAAGCCACTTGAACATGGTCCTGAAGAAACTGCTCTGGGTGAATCAGCTTGAGTAGGAGTTGGACTAGGTAGACTCAGAAGTCCTTGCCAACCTCAGCTATACTGTGAAGTGAACATGAAGGAGTTCCCTTTCCGTCAAACTCTGTATGTTCGCAAAGTGCCCAACCATCAGTGATTAAGTACTAAATAAAGACTCCTCTCTCCATTCTTCTCAAGTACCCAGATTTTGTTCTTTGATTTAATTGACATGAGTATGTGTCTATATCCCATTAGGCTTGTAAGCTGGTGAGGAAGTATGTCTCAGAGAAGAAGGTGAAAAAGACTCTTGTCACAGAATACTCTATCCATGGGTAGAAAACTTCACCATATCATAGGCATGCTGGGTTTATTTAAGTTATGCATCAGAACATGACCTGGTCTTGAACACTTCCAGAAACAGGGAGTCCACAAGTTCTCTGAGCAACCTGCTCCAGCGCCTCACCACTCTCTGAGTAAAAAATTTCATCTGAATCTTTCACTTAAATATCCCCTCTTTTAGTTTAAAGGCATTCCCCCTTGTTCTGTCATTATCAGACCATGTAAAAAGTCAGTCTCCGGCCTGTGTATAAGCTCCCATCAGGTACCGGAATGTGAGATCTTCCTGGGGCCTTCTTTTCCTCAGGATTAACAAGCAAAGTTTTCTCAACCTTTCTTTAGAGGAGAGGTGCTGCAGTCCTCAGATAATCTTTGTGGCCTTCCTCTGGACCTGCTCCAACAACTCCACATCTTGTGCTGGGGGACCTACTCCCGAATGCAGTCGGGTAGAGCAGAGTGGGATAATCACCTCCTCACCCTGCTGGCCATATCTCTTTTGATGCAGGCTGGGATACAGTTGACCTTCTGGGCTCTGAGTGCACACTGCTGGCTCATGTACAACTTTTTGTCCACAAGGACACCCAAGTCCTTCTCCACAGGGCTGTTCCCAGTGAGTTCTTCTCTCTGTACACATCTCTGAGATTGCTCTTACCCAAGTCGAACCCAACACCTTACACTTGGTCTTGTTCAGTCTCAATAGGTTCTCATGGGCCCTCTTTCCAAGCCTTTCTAGAAGCCACTGCACCACTCAGCTTGGTGCCATAAGCAGACTTGCTGAGAGTGTGCTCAATATCACTATCCAGATCATTGATAAAGAAGTTGAAGAGCACCTGTCCCTAGATGGACCTCTGGGGGACATAACTTGTCACTGGTCTCCACTTGGACATAGGTTTAATGACCACAACCATCTGGCTGTGACCTTCCAACCAATTCTTTATCCATCAAAAAGTCCACCTTTCAAATTCATTTCTTTCCAATTTATAGATAAGAATGTGGTGTAGGACCATATCAAAGGCAGAAGTCCAGGTAGATTATATCAGTTGCCTTTCCTTTGTGCACCAATACTGTCACTCCATCATAGAAGGCCACCAGGCTGATCATGCATGATAACATGCCCTTATGCTGTCCTGAATGCATATGCCTTAACACAGCTTCCAGGAGGACCTATTCCATGATCTCCACAAGTACAGATGTGAGACTGACAGGCCTGTAGTTCCCCAGGTCTTTCTTGCTCCCTTTCTTTAGAATGGGAGTGATATTTCTCTTCTGCCACCAGGAACTTCTCCCAACGGCCATGACTTTTCAGATATGATGGAGAATGGCTTGGCAACTACATCATTCAGTTTCTTTACTACCCTGGGATGCATGTTGTCAGGCCTTATAGACTTGTACAACATCAATCAGTCTCACAGTGGTCTTGAACTTGCTCTATGCTTATAGCAATAGGGATTTTACTCCTGCACCTTCTGCCTGAAGACCGAGTAACTCAAGAGACATGGGAAGTTAAACTAGCAGTAAAGACTGAGGCAAAGAACTTGCTGAGTACCTCAGCCTTCTCGATGTCCATTGAAGGCAGTTCTACCTTCTCATTTAATAGAGGAAGTACAATCTTCTTTACCTTTCTCTTTGACCAATATGTATGTAGAATCTCCTGTTATTTTTCACATCTCTCAATAAGTTCAGTTGATCTGCACCTTGGCTTTCCTGCTTCCATCTCTGCATGTCTGGACAGCATCCCTATATTCTTCCCAGGCCACTCATCCCCATTTCTACTGCCTGTACATTTTCTTCTTTTCCCTTAATTTGCTCAGCAGGTCCTTACTCAGCCATGTCAATTTCCCATATCTTCTGCTGTCCTTTGAGAAGTACCACCCGTGTATCTGTTCTTATGTCCCTAAGGACAGTTTTCCAGAGGATCTCATCCAACAATTCCTTAAACAGATGGAATTTTTATCTTCTGAAGCTCAAGATTCTGACCCTGCTTCTGACCAGACCCATGTTCCTTGAGATCACTAACTCAACCACAGCATGGTTGCTGTAGTCCAGATTGCCTCCTATCTGAACCTCTTTAATTATCTCCTCTGTATTGGTGAGAACCAGGTCCAATAACACTTCACCTCTTGTTGGTCTGTCCAGGTATTGGACAGACTATGAAGCTATCCTCAGCAGACTCCAGGAGTCTTCTGTATTGTTTGCAGCCTGCTGTGTTGCTTTTCCAGCAGACAGCTGGGTGATTGAAATCCCCCATCAGGCTGAGAGGTTATGAGCACGAAATCCATTGTAAATGGTGCAAGAAAGCCCCATCAGCAGGCTCCTCTTGATCAGGCAGCATGTAGTAGACCCTGACCACCAGATGTCCTTTATTGGTCTGGTCCCTAATTTTAACCTATGTGCTCTCAAGCTGAATGTGACTGTTTCTCAGAGACAGCTCTTCATGGTCTATCCACTTCTTAACATATAGGGCAACTCCTTTACCCCTCCTGCCCTTTCTATCTCTTCCAAAAAGCTTGTAGGCTTTGATCATCCTATTCCAGTTGTGTGATTCACCCCATCTTGTTTCCGTGATAGCAGGCAGGTCATAGTTTTGTAATTGCATCATAGTATTCTGGCTTTATCAGAATTGGTAGCCTCTTATTGATGTCCCACATTCAGACCTCCAGCAGACAGCAGAGCTATCTCAAGAGATTATCTGGACAGCAGTTGGGATCCTCAGTGCATCTCAGTGAGAAGTCCCTATGACAAACATAAAACAACAGTCTGTATGCATGTTTATGTTATGGGTATACACATGCTAAGTCTGAAACTGACTTTTTTTTTTTTTTAATTTAAATTTTTAATTAAAAAAAAAAAAAAACACCAAACAAACAAACAAACAAAAACCCAATATACTACAGATGGTGTGGAACAACCACACAAAAAAGTGCTATGACAGTCCAGCCATTACGGAGCTCTAATTCTATGCTTCTTGGTCTGCTCTTTATATGATGAGAAGTTTGGTGAGGTTCACTTTGCAGATAGGAAAAAGGGTATAAAACCTTGTGCACAGTACTGTGGGAATTACTAAATGCCTACCTTGTTTTTAAAGACTATAATGAAGAGGCATATGTTGAAAATGCCCATCAGGATCTTGGAGTGCAGTTTCACAAGCACTACAAACTGGCAGTACTGGTGAAAAATCATTCTTGCCTTGTGTTTATATCTGGTCAGGTATTTCTCCATTATACTATACTTTTCTTTGTACTGATTTAAAGTATTGTTACTGCTGTACTATGAACTATGTTGAGGAACTTACTCAAAATTAACTTCCCTACTAGTGAAAAGAAGTTGTTAGCATGAAATTCTAGCTGAGCAGAGAGAAAAGATGTGGAAACTATTTGATATATTGAAGCAGTCAAAGTACATTTTTGTAACTAGGTGTAACTATAACAATCTCTTTTGTATTTAAGGCTTCTGTAATTTTGTTTCATTACTGCAAGTCTATCTTTTTAGTAAGCATGTTCTCTGACTACTTAAGTCTGCAAGCCTTTTCCTATTCAGGGCCTTTTCCTTCTGGCGTGCAAATGCATATATTTAGCAGCCTACTACTGTTTTCTTAACATGAAAAGATTACATCAGCCCAAGATACAGATATCTTTTTCTTTCCAGATTTCTCCAAGTTAGGAAGGCCTAAACAGAGACAACCTGATAAGGTATTATTTTTGTACCTGTCCAGCTGTAGTGGTTCTGTGTTCTGCAGTGGACAATAGCAGTATCTTCTAGGTTCTTGTTGTCATTTGACTGGCAAACAGCAAACACCTTGCACTCTTCCAGCAAGAGGGCTCACAGGAATAACGATCTTGTTTACCCTGTGATATAAGTTTGTTATCTTCTGTTGTTGACATGTTTGAAGGCTCAGGTATTTTTGTCTTTTTGTCACGTCACATTATCATTGTGCCACCAAAGCTGCTTTTCCTCCTTCTTCGGGGATGAAATCATCCCAGTATTTTACTGGATGACCAGAAGTTGCAAAGTTTTTTGAAGTAAGCTTTTTAAAATTCTCATTTCTCTTAGGGAAAAATTAATAGGCCCATTTTGAATCCCGTAAAGGTTTTTTAGTGTTCTCTGGATTCATATACTCCTGCAGTTAGAAGAACTAATGAAGCAGACCAGGTCTTGGGGAAGTCTTCTTCTCCTTTCCTCTTGTTTGTTCACCTGTCCTGCAATTCTTGCTAATGAGTACACAAAATTATTCTATTTTATCCAAAAGAATCCCAAATGGCAAAGAGCATGGCAGATATCTTAATAACTCAGTAACTTCTCAGGCAAACTGCCAGCTTTCTTTGTGTCTTCTATTTTCCCTTGGACTCACGGAAGACAGTAATTGCTTTTGCAGAGTCCAGACTTCTTTTCAGACTGCCTTAAATGTTATAGAAACTGCTTCAGTGACTGCTCAGATTTGTACCTACGTATACAAATATACATAGGTCATCTCAGCTTTGGGTTATTTTGTCACCATTGAGTCACAGCCTTCAGTATTATCCATAAAGCGTTTTGATAGTTCATCTCTAACTTTGGAACAGCTAAAAATAAACGTTGTGTGTTGAAGGATTGAAGGACTCTGATTCTGCCGTCTGCTGCCCAGATGTTTTTACAGAGGAAGAAAATTATGGAAGAAAAAAAGTCACAAGGAGGAAGTTAGAGTTTTTGTTCATACTTTTGACCTAGGCATACACTCAAAATCAGGGTAGGAATCCACAATGGCTTTGGTAACAATTCAATTATTTTGAGACCTTCATTAATGCTAGTGCTTGTTACTGTGGAAAAGATTGTACCCCATTGTGCAGCTCTGTCAGGTTATGGTCAGCTGAATAGCTAATAGCCTGGTTCCCATAGCAACTGAGATCCTAATATGTCAGGCCTGCTGAGGTCTGGCCCTGAATTCTCATCGAAAAGAATTTGGTTTTCTAGTCTTTGCAGCTCATTCTCATTTCTGGCTGCAGCTAACTTCAGACTTCTGTTCATTTTCTTTTTTTTATGGCTTCTGGTCCTGAATTTTTGTCAGTATTGTGCCATCTTTTCCTTAACAGCTTGTCTTGGGCATACACTCTAGCATCTGGCTTCTATGATTTATGGACTTCCCTGATATTAGTCTTCATCTTAGTCATTTGAGCTCGCTCTTGTTTTGTTCCTTGAATCTTTGTTTTGTGTATGTGTGTGTGTCAAGGAGGAACTGAGGGCAATGATATCTCTGATACTTTAAAAAAGTTTCATTTTCACATCCAGAATCAGGGGAGTAACTGTAGTCTTAATTAGTCCTTTCTTTTTCAAAGATGGAACCGATTTATGCCTGTTTACTTCAAGATGCATACATTCATGTAGATGTCAGAGTATATAACTAGTATATCACTATCTCTTATTTCACAGCTAGTCAGTACTATTACTAATATAAAATTTGTTTTAGTTTTTTCCACAGCAAAAGAAGATCTCACAGCTGTATTTGGAGAGGTTGCAATCCAACAGATACAGAACAGACTTTCTGTATTTTCTAGGCAGAAGGCTAAATAAGGAGCTATCAGACTAGCCAGCTGTACAGCAACTGATTTTGATCAAATGACAGTTTGCTCCCATTGAGTTCTTATTAATTAGTTGTGTCCAGAGTAGTCTTTTCATAGAACACCTTCCAGATCACGGAAATTCTGACTGTACAATTGACACTTAACTGACTGTCTCAGCACGTAAAATTTCTGTGTCGTGTGCAGGTTTGTATTTACACAATACTTCCTGTGATGCAATTCCTGAATCTTTCAATCCTGATTACTGACTGCACAATACCTAGCTGTCTTCTCAGATTGCCAGTGACTCCTTTACTTGAATTTGAGATTTCTCCTGATTTCCATGGCCCCGAGGCATAAGGAAGCACTGATAATTCTACCCATTGTAGTGTAGCTGAGATGATTTTTGTTTGGGATTTCTTTATTTGGTTTTATTATGTTTTATTTATTCTTCCTTTGCTTTACTGAGGAGGACTCTCACCTTACCTTCTAGCCTAGAAATACCACTTTAATCTCACCATATCCTTCTGGGTTGGAGACTTAACATTGGAATGTACTACTACTACCACTTTCAACAGAAGTTCTCACTAGCAGGGAAAGATTATGATACTGTTCTGATTAAATCCAAAGATAATTGGATCTCCTGCATGACATTCTCATTGATCTCTCTGTCCTGCTTACACCTCAAACACAATAACTTATGACCATTTGTTGAAGTGTTAATTCAGTCTCTTTATTTGATCAGAGTTTTTCAGAGCCATAGAATCATAGAACCCTTTGTTGGAAGGGATCTTCAAAGGCCAGTTAGTCCAACTCCTCTGCAATGAACAGGGACATGCACAGCTTAATCAGGGCCAGGGACTGGTCCATGTGTAGTGGCCAACTCCAGAACTGTCTATGAATGGTTTTCATTCATAGATGGTTATTAACCTCTGCTAGGAAGATGAGAAAGATCTAAGTATTTCTGGATGATTCCACCTATACAGAGTTCTATTTGTGCTAGAGATTTCCATTCATTTCACTTGTCTGTAGATTTTAACCTCTGTTGATACAACCAGGCCTATGACCATATACCTGGAAGAAATATATGGCTGCAGTCACTTCTATATAGACCCTGTAAAAATGTTTGCATTACAGTTCAATGCTAGAGGGACAAAGTTTAATTACATTCTGTTTGAGGTACACTCCACTGAAGTTGAGGCAATGCTAGTGTTTGTTAGTTTTAGAACATCCTCTACCTGCAAAGTAGTTTCCTGGAATTCTGGCTCCGTCCTCGCTGAGCTGTACATGCTTATAGAGAACAACGATAGGGTATGTTGTATCTGATGTGTTGACCCTGCCATTACTGCTTGTATGGAAAATTTCCATAACTACATCCAGTTACGCTTAGTGTTATGCAGAGTATAAATGGGTACAGGGAAAAATCTATCAAATATAGAAATTTGTTTACAATAAACTGGAGTCATTCAAAACCTGTTGTTCGATGTTCTCATTCTACTTCTTCTCAGAAGTACTCTACTGGTAGTGGATGAACTTCTATACTCATGCACTGATTACCAAGGAGGCTGCAAGGCAAGCGTTAGCATGTCTTCTAGCATGCCACTGCTACTTAAAGAAAAAACAAGCCAGTCCTGATTTTACAGGTTGTAAAAACTTTGGTATACTTTCTGGAAAGCATGTTGGGAATAATGCATTTTGAATTCCTGTTTTCAGGAGCACCAGAACTTTTATTCCAGTGATGTGTCCTTGGGCTACTTGATACTTTCTGTGAAGTATGAACAGTCTGAGAAACAGGAAAATCTACGCTTGTTGCTGAGGTAACAGTGTCTTCGGTAGTAGCATGTGTTACTGTGATGTGTCTCTCATCTTACCTTGTACTTTCTCTGCATAGATGTGGGTGTGAATCTCATGTCTCTCTCTTAGAGAAGCTTGTAAAGAAACCTTTGAGACTTCATTTCTTGCCTTCCTCTGACTATCTTCTAGTAATTTCCTTCAGAAAGCTGAAGCATTTGCGGGCACATCCTTACAGTTCTTCTGAGAAAATTATTTGTTCCGCCTTCAAAAATAAACTTCTGTTAATTCTGTTTACTTAAAGATGTGAGCACTCTTGAAGGAGGGAATGTGCCTTTCCTAGTTGAGAGCAGACTAGCTCAGGCCTATCTTTGGGCTTTGTACTTGAGACTAAATCCCACTTGAAGGTGAGCTAGGACATCTCTTAACTTCCCAGGACAGCCTCTGATGTGCCAGTGTGCCTCCTTTATGGCTTTAACAAAGCCCAGAGAGCTGCTGAATAAACTAGAGGAAGAATAGAGATGGATCCTGTGTAGATGAGAAGTATGCAGCAGAAAAGCTATTTCCTACTCTGTTGACTGAGGCCACTTCTGATAGGCAGTATGCTACTTGAAGAAACTGACATACCATTGCTGCTTGTCATCTCTCATTCAGTACCAAGGGAAAACGTGGGTAGGAATCAACTACAAGACTGCCACTGTGACCACTGTATGTGGAGAACACTTCAGAGCAAGAATCTTCTAGGGGAAAAATTGAGAGCATACTAATGAGCTGAACCAGGGAATGTTTATCTGAGCCTAGAAACCTTCCTACACTGAAAAGAATGGTGAAGGGTATTTATTTCTCTGTTAAGATATCCTACTATATGCAGCACCTTTGCCTAGTAACTTGTTTATATTGGTGGAAGAGGTCTCTGACAGCCAAATCTTACTTCTTCCCTAGAAAGACATCTCTTTTTTAATATATATATGGAAAAAGGAAGCTTTTGTATGTTAAAGAGATGGCTTAACTATGATTTAACTATGTTAAATCTAATTTCAACCCCCTGCTGTTGACAAGGTCACCTCTCACAAGATCAGATTGCCCAGGACCCCATCCAACCTGGCCTTGAACACTTCCAGAGATCAGGCATCCACAATTTCTCTGGCAAGCCTATGCCAGTGTCACAAGAATTTCCTCCTTATGTATGATCTAAATCTCGATTCTTTCAGTCTGAAGCCATTACTTGTAACACAACAGGCCTTGGTGAAGAGTCTTTAAATATTCTTCATATCTGCCCCCTTTAAGTACTGTAAGGTCACAATGATTTTTCTGGAGCCTTTGCTTCTCCAGGCTCAACAACTCCAAGCCTCTCATCCTGTCTTCGTAGGACAGGTGCTCCAGCCTTCTGATCGTTGTCATGGCACACCTCTGGACTTGCTCTGACAGGCCCATGTCTTTCTTGGGCCTGCCTGTTTTGTCTTTCTCTGCTTCTCAGAACAAGTGATGAGTAGTAAGTACCCCTGTGTTTTCAGTGATTTTATGCATTAAGGTTAAAATTATTCCTCTGGAATTAACTGTTTTAAGAACAATCTGAAGGGATGGCTACTGTTTGTTTAAAGAGCCGGTATTGCACCTGCCTCTTTCAACATTCACTTTAATGTGTGTTTTTTTTTTTATTTCAGGACACGAACTGGTACCAAACATGATCTGATCCCCATTTCCTGTCTGAATGAATTTCCCAATGCTGTCCAGATGGCAAAGGTGAGATTCTTGCTTGCCTTCTCACTCTTACATCATGTGTCTGTCTCTTTTTGATTCTATCCTTCTAGTTACTTTCACGTTACTGTCCTGCCACTTCTCTCTTTTCTACTTTTTCACACCACTACTTTCATACACTTCTCCTTTCACTCTTCCATTTAGCTCCTCTTTTTCTTTTCTAATGTTAACTCAGCTTTTTCTCTTGAAAGGAGTCTTGTCAGATAATTATGAGTGTCCACGTTTGGTTGCTTGCAGCAATCTAGAGCACATGATAATCACACTTTTATTTCCCTCTCTGTCTCTCTACAGCTACTGTGTGAAGATGTGAATGTTGAACGCTTCTTTCCTGTCCTCTATCCCAAGGTATAAATTTCTGATTCTATGTACCTTTTCATCAAGAGCTGGCTAATTAAGTGCAATTTATAATTTGTATTTTCATTTTCACAGGCTTCACAGCTTATTGTAGCATTTGATGAACATGTTATAAGCAATAACTTCAAATTTGGGGTAATCTACCAGAAACCTGGACAGGTAAGGTAGTTCAGATCCTACCATCCTCAAGAAAAAACAGAAAGAGTCAGTTTTCTTAGATTAAATGTAATAACAAGGTCTGCAGTGTGGAAAGTATGGTATACTGGAAAATAGAGACTTCTTAAACAGAAAGGACACAATCTTGCCTTATAATGACTTTATTTCCTTTGTGCAGGTCCTCAAAGCTGATTGAACTGTGTTTTTGCCTAATCTTTGTACTGTTTTTGCTTTTCTCTTTTCCTTTTGAAGACAACTGAAGAAGAAGTCTTCAGTAACACAGAAGAGAGTCTGGGTTTCCTGGAGTTCTTAGATTTCCTTGGTGACAAGATTCAGCTGCAGGATTTCCGTGGGTGTGTAACAAGCATGTTTTAAAAGTCAGGATGGGTTAGGGAATGCAGAAGGTTCAGTGATTTGATCTCTGATGGGAGAGATATCTCTTAGCCTGTAACTTGGGCAGACTGAAGGCTTTAAACAAGGATTGATGGGAGAGGGAGATTCCATCAGGGATACTGGGGTCAAGCTAAAGGAATGTAAGCCATCATCAGAGGATGACAAGGCTGATAGCAGCATCTGCCGCTCCAAAGGGCACCTCAGGTTCAGGAGCACATTGGAAATGCTTGTATACCAATGCATGCAGTTTGAGGAAATGGGAGCTTTGGTTCATTCCTGGAGTAATGTTATCTTTGGTATTAGTGAGATGTGGTGGGATGAGTCCTAAATATGGAGTGCTGGGATGGAGGGTGGAGAAGCCCAACATGCTTTTGTCAACCATCCTGGCTGGTAATCTGTTGGAGTTTAGGCCTCAGCTAAAAATTTTCATTTAGGGATCTTGGAGTATTTCAACACGTCACCCATGATGATTAAAGAAAATATTTGACTGTATAAATGCAAGCTTGTTTTGTTTATTAAAACAGTCACAGGGAGAAAAGAAGGTTGCGGGGTGACCTAATTGCAGACTTTCAGTGCATCAAGGGAGCCTGTAAACAATATATTATATCATTATAATCTGTTTTGCCTAATTCTCTTGTTTATTTTGTAATTGTAACATCTTACTATTCATTGATTATACACGGGTCAACTCTTTGAAAGGGTAGCTAACAGCAGGACAAGGGGAAATGGTTTTAAGTTGAAGGAGGGAAGATTTAGGTTGGGGAAGTTCTTTACTATGAGGTGCTGGAACAGGCTGCCCAGAGAGGTTATGAGTACCCTGTTCCTGGAGGTGTTCAAGGCCAGGTTGGATGAGACCCTGGGCAGCCAGGTCTAGTATTAAGTGGGGAGGCTGGTGGCCCTGCTTGTGTCAGGGGGGATTGGAAATTCGTGACTCTTGAGATCACTTCTAACCTGGGCCATTCTGTGATTCTGTGGCTCTGCCACAGCTACTTTCTGCAGTTCTAAAATATGGATTCTGTTTCCTTAGAAGAATGCTAAACCAAGTAGATCGTTTGAGGATCTCTGGTTTAGCTTCACCGGTTTAGCAAGAAAGGTTGTTCATTGGTAGAAACATTTTGCAGCTTTGATTATAGCATTCGTTTTTGGAAGATGAGTTACTACACTGCTGCTGATTTCTTTAAAGTTACCTTTGATATTATTGATGCATAAGCTAGTGTTACTGATATCTTCTTTGTTCTCTCCATTTTTTCATCTGTGTCCTGCCCAACCTATTGTGTGGTGTGGATTTATTCAGGTTCCGGGGAGGTTTGGATGTCATTAGAGGTCAAACGGGCACCGAATCAGTTTATACAAATTTCCGGGGCAAAGAGATCATGTTTCATGTGTCTACAAAACTGCCCTTCGCAGAAGGAGATTCCCAACAGGTATTTGTGAGGAGAACTAAGGAATGCAAGTGTGGGTAAGAGGGGAGGGGTATTTATTGAGGAGTTAATTAAGGAGAACTGCAAGATATTGGGAAGTATGACAGGAGAAATGGTGAAAGTAGTGATGGGGTTTTTACTAGAGAAGATGGGCTGGAGATGCTAAACAGACTGGTGTTTTGGGCCCTATTATACTGTTCTACTCTTTTTCATCTCCACGTTTTTTTTTACTTTTTACTCTTCAGCTTCAGAGGAAGCGTCACATTGGGAATGACATTGTAGCCATCATCTTCCAGGATGAAAGCACACCTTTTGTGCCTGATATGATTGCTTCTAATTTCCTACATGCATACGTGGTAGTTCAGCTCACTCACAGCAGTTGTGGGGAGACCCTCTACAAGGTAAATGGAGCCAGCAGATTCTTCTGTGGTGATGTACTGACTTCAACCCTTGAAGCGAAAACCTGTTCATGGTTTTTGGGCTTTTGGGAGAGGTACAAGATTGGCCACGTGTCCTCCAAACAGCTTTGCTTGCTTTGTCAGTAAATGCTAACAACATTCTCAGTGAAAAGCTCTCCTTCCCCTTTACCTACACTTTGATCTCTGACTAGGAGTCTCATTCCTGCTATACTATTCTCTATTCTGTAGGTTTGCAGAGGTCCGACTAAGAACTAAGACTGAGAATAATCAAGATTCTGGAACGCAAATATTTTACTGAACAGAGTCCAGGAATGCTTATTATCTCTACCTAGCAAATAGAATGTAAAAAAAAAAAAACAAAACTATGTACTTGTGTGTTTTCCAGTGTAGCTGATAGATTTATAGAGCTTAGCACTTGGGATTTAATGCAAGACAAATTCAGATAAGTTTTGTATTAGATAAAATTTCAGATAAAATATCAGAAAGCACAAAGAGCAAGTGATCACATTTTGGGTAATCTTTTTCTTTCATTGAAAGAAAGAGGTTTTCTTGCATTATCAAGAAAAGCTCATTTACCTAACTTTGTCTGATGCTTAGTAATAGATCATAGCACAGAGCTTGCTTATCCTGAAACTGTATGTCAAGTAGAGCTCGCTGGCCTATTCTGTGGACTTCTAACCAGCTGCATCTACTTTTGTGGATCCTGGAGCCAATGCTCATCTGAAAGTGAAGTGCTACATCTTAAGGTCCTCTATTTGACAGGAGCCCTGCTAGAACAAAGATTCTGTATCCACAGCCTCTTGCCAGAACAATTTATTGCATGTCTGTATATGGATATCTCTATGACTTTAAATTCAACTTTCAATCATGATGAGAAATCAGGGCACATTATTTTGCGTTCTGTGATGGATTTTCCTTTATAGAAACATTCTAATCGATGTGCTGTGTCTCATTTTATGTAAAAATTCTAATTTGGTGATAATGAGTTCTTAAGCCTTTTAGGTCTGCAAGAGTGGCAAGAATGTCAAAATTGTGACAGGATCTCCATCTCATCTTCCACAAAAAGAGTGGTAGTGTTGGAATAACAACAATATTTTGTTTTATATGTTGTGGACATCTGAGTCTGTCATGAGAAAATAACTGTCTGATGATCAGAGGCTTGAGGTTCTAATTCTCTTACTGTTCATCTTACAGGGCACATAAATTCACTGCATTTTTGCTTTTAAGAAAAAAGCTGGGGAAGCTTGTCATTTGTCTTTCTCTTCCCAGTATTGTTTTTGCCTACGTGCAACAGCATTATTTTTGGCACAGTAGTAAGGTTGCCTATATCACTTCATTAAAAAAAAATAAATAAATCACCCCAGCCATGACTCTGGGGCCACTGCAGTTTTATGTAAGGGCTTTTCCAAAGGAATTTTAAATAATTCTTCCTTGAGAGGCTCTAGTGTCTAATGCTTAAATTTGAATTTTGATGATATTTATTTGAATCAGTTTTTACAAACAGAAGATTAAGAATGCAGAGCAGGATTTTGGTCTGTTGGGAGAGAGAGGGAGGCCTTGTAACTAGGGCAGCTGGCCAATAGTGTGAGAAATCTGAGCTAAATTTAGGGCCTCTTTCCTTAGTCTCATTAAATTCACACAACTCTGTGAGGTGCTCTGTGACATTTACAGTGGGGTGTTATTTTGAGGCAGTTGCTGTAAAGATGCACTGCTGTTGTTCCTTGTTGTATGAATTGGAAAAGAATAATACTGTTCCTTGTTCCATCTCAAACATGAAGAAAAAAGTAACTGAAGTATCTGGTGAGATAGCTACATATACATGGTAAGTATTGTGAAGAACAAAGTGGCAGTATTTGAAAAAATGTACTTGCATTACGATTTTTTGGCATTCGGATGTGAGGTAGGAGCATGCTTTAAAAAAAAATCATAGATGCACTTATCTCTTGCTGGGAAACTGCTTTTGTGTGCTTATTATGTGTCTAAGAGAAGTAGTGTCACCGTACTGGGATACTCCCTTATATTCCCCTTAGTATGCAGTATATATCTACTGAGAAGTCTGGTTAAAAAAAAAAAAAAAAAGTTAGTATTAACATTTGGTTTGTCTGGTGGAGGTAAATCTTGCAGGCTGAATAGAAGCATCTTTTTTCTGCTCTAAATACACTGGTTATTGTTAATATATATTTATTATTAAGAACACTTTAAAATGTAAGGTTTAGCAAGGTGTTTCGCTTTTGCTTTATGATTTTCTGGGAGGTAAAAGAGCATTGGAAGATAAAATTGCCAAGCTGTATTTTAAAGGTCGTGGCAGTCTTGGTGAAGTTTCCGCTGATTGGAAAAGGAGAAACAAAAATCCCATTTTCAAGAAGGGAAAAAAAGAAGATCCAGGGAACTACCGGCCAGTCATTCTCACCTCTGCACCTGGCAGGATCATGGAGCACATCCTCCTGAAGACCCTACTAAGGCAGTTGGAAAATAAAGATGAATTGATTGGTGGCAACCAACATGAATTTACCGAGGGCAAATTATGCCTGACGTACTTGGAAGCCTTCTGTAATGGAGTTACAGCATCAGTGAACAAAGGAAGAGCAACTGATGTCATCTACCTGACTTGTGCAAAGCGTTTGACACTGTTCCACATGACATCCTGGTTGCCAAATTTGGGAAGAAATTATTTGATGGATGGATGACTCGCTAGATAAGGAATTGGCTGGATGGTTGCACTCAAAGACCTGCGATTAATGGCTTGGTGTTTAAGTGGAGACTGGTGATGAGTATTCCTTTTTTTTCTAGGAATCGATGCTGGGACTGGTGCTGTTTAACATCTTTGAGGCAACATGGACAGTGGGATTGAGTGTAGTTCCCACAGTGCAGAAAACAGTAAGCTGATCGATGCAGTTGACACACTAGATGGAAGGGGTGCTATCCAAAGGGGCCTGGACAGGCTGCAGAGGTGGGCCTATGCCAATTTTGTGAAGTTCAAGGCCAAATGCAAGATACTGCACCTGAGTTAAAGCAATCCCAAGCCCAAATATAGGCTGGGTGGAGAATGGCTTGAGAGAAACCCTGAGGAGAAGCATTTGGGGAAGTAGGCTGATAAAAGACTCAACATTAGCTGGCGATGTACACTTGCAGCCCTGAAGGATAACCATATACTGGGTTGCATCAAGAGAAGTGTGACCATCCGACTGAGCAAGGTGATTCTCTCCCTCTACTCGGCTCCTGTGAGACCCCACCTTGAACACTGCATCCAGTTCTGTTGCCCCAACAGAGGAAGAATATTGAGCTGTTGGAGAGGGTCCAGAGGAGGGCCACGAAGATGAGGGATGGAGAGCTGAAGCACCTCCACTATGAGGACAGGCTGAGAGAGTTGGGGCTTTTCAGCCTGGAAAAGGGAAGGCTTTGGGGAGACCCAGTAGCAGCCTTCCAGTACCTGAAGGGAGCTTGAAAAGATAACTGGGGAGGGACTTTTTATAAGTGCAGGTAGCTTCAAGATGAGAGGAAATGGCTTTAAATTGGAAGAGGGTAGATTTAAACTAGCTATTAGGAAGAAATTATTTACTCTGAGGGTGGTGAAATGCTGAAACATGTTGCCCAGTGTGGTTGTGAATGCCTCCTCCTTGGAGGCATACAAGGCCAGGCTGGATGGGGCTCTGAGCAACTTGGTCTAGAGGAACGAGTCACTGCCTATAGCAGGGGGGCTGGAACTAGATGATCTTAAGGGTCCAACTTGAGTAATTCCATAATTCTATGGTCCGTTCACTGAGGTCAGGAATTGACAGGTACCTTTGGAAAATGTAAATGAGTCAGAAGGAAGGATACAATAGTATCTCTGATAAATACATTGCAACGTACATGTGTGCAAACACAGAAGTTTGAAATCTCTAATAATCTCAATTGTATTATGGTTTCTAGTACTGATTTCATTCCCTTGTACTGTTTCAGGTTTCAGTCACAGCACGAGATGATGTGCCCTTCTTTGGACCTTCTCTACCAAATCCAGCCATATTTAGAAAGGTTTGTTTCTCTGATGTAGTGTTAGATGGCAGGGAAAAATATTACACATCCTTTTATTTACAGTCACTGTTGTATTGTCAGTCTGGCTAGATGGCTTTGGAAGTCTAAGGAGTAGTAAGGTAGAGCTTTTATCACCTAATGTTCCTAATGCTGTCTTCATCTCCAGTCGGGTTTTCATCTTGTTTTGTAGAGTACAGAGTTTCGTGAATTCCTTCTGGTCAAGCTCATCAATGCTGAATACAGCTGCTATCGAGCTGAAAAATTTGCTAAATTAAAGGTGGGACGATTACCTGTTTGTCTCCATTGAAAATATAATACTGTATTGCTGCAAGATTAAGAAAATACAAGATAATTTTTTACTGTCTTCTATTTCTAATTTTCTGATGTTTAAATGTGATTATTCTTAGCCATGTGAATCCTTCCTTTGTATTTTACAACTGGCATGGTAGGGTATGAACAGATACGTTCTAATGTCATTGTTTAATCCTCAAGTAAGAGTTTGTATATGATGCACAGATACTGCTGTAGGAAATTCTGTATTAGTTGAGACTCAGTACTGCATTTCAGGGTACATGTTAAGAGTTTTGTTCAAAGTCCCAAAATTCTGTTCCAAGATCTGCTGCTTGCGTGATCTAAGAAAAAACTGCCCTCAACCCATGATTTTCATCACCGGTAAAACCTAGTGTCTGTTATGACTTGATTTAAAAGGAGTTTAAAGGGGCTATCTACAACTATAAATTCCATATTCACATAGCTGAAATCAGTTAATGTTTAAATTAATTTTCATGATATTTTTTGTTTTTAAAATGAGGACAAGAGATACAGCAGTAACAGCACCCTTCTACACTCTCCCCATTATAGCTGTGTTTTCATTCCCAATGTTGATGTAGGAGAGAACACGAAGTGCCCTCTTGGAGAGTCTTTTTGAGGAGCTGCAGTTTCGCAGCCGCTGTATGATGGGATTGCCCATAGAAGAAGATGACAAGACAGAGAATGGCAGTGGGGGCTTCTTTGAGAATTTCAAGGTGGGTCAAGGTTGATTGAAGAAGTTCCTTATCAGTTGTCCATTTTTTTCGTTTTTATTTAAGGATCACTATGTCCCATCAGGAATATCGACCCTAGCAATAAGCTGTGCAGCAGATTAAATGGAAAGGAAGACTTTTCTTGTAGCAGTGTTTCTTTAAAGCATCTTCCACTGTGCTTTATTGTATCATTCAAAAATACACATTTTTCCAGTTCGTGTACATCTTTCTGTGGAGCTAAAACTTGGTCTTTGATAGAATTCTATACTGTCCCTAGGACATCAGACTCTTTCTTTATGTGTCATGATGGTGACTAGTGTCAGATGGGGTTTCGTTCCTTGACTTGTTGGAAAGGGTGTAGGTGCTTACAGGAGGAACTGCAATAACTAGTAGGAAGCAGCTTTAATTTCTCACAGTAGACTCCTTCCAGTTCATTTTCATTATGGCTGAAAGAGTAGCAGGAGCCACCGCAAGAGTTTCCAACACAACTTAGCATGTATTGTTTAAAAAATACTGATGCTTTACTTTCCCTCTAAATCCAGAGTTAGTATCTTGTTGTTCAGCTTAGATTTCTTTCATTTTAAAAGTCAGGATCAGGTGACGACTTACTTGTAAAAGTACAAGGATCAAGACAATAAGTGGAAGCAAAGTTTTTGAACAAACAGGAGAAATTAATTTTGAGCTGCTTATATAGGAAAAATCTTGCATCACTTTCCTTTCTCTCACTTTCCCATTTCTGTGTCACCAATTTCTTTGTCTTAACAAGAGACTTACTAAGAAAGCTTTTCTTTAGATGAACTCCCCTTGTTTTGTCTGGTGGGCTGATTGGTGTTATTAAGGATGGTGAAACTAAGCCAGTCACGTGTAACTACTAAGTATATGTGTAGCTTTGGTCAGATCTTGGATGGTTTGTTGAGTTTTATTAATATGTACAGTCAATCTACCCTCCTCTTGCCACTAACCAGGAGTTTCATAACCACCTACATCTTAAAGTAATTATTCCAAAAATGTCCTTTTCTGACTTACAGCAGGTACTATGATTTACAGATCATTGTATACAAACAACCTTTGCAAAGGGTTAGAAAAGACTGAGAAATATCAGAAAATGTTTTTTTCAAATGCTGCATATTTTCAAATAGCTGTTCTCGCCTTCATGCATGACCTTATAGTCTTCAGTTTTGTGTTTTGTAGCTTATACTGGGCAAGACTGCATTAGATGATGCTGTCTTACTCAGGAAGCTGGGATACTGTGGGGGAATCTCTACTGCAATATAAAAAATGAAATAAAAGGAGAGAGTATATTTGAGGAAGAGTTCTTTACTAGCAGTGAATTCCATAAATCAGCCAGAACAACAACGAAAGGGTTATATGTAAGATGCTGCCTTTGAGGAATTAGGATTTCTGTCTTTCTGGTGTTGGTCTGTCCCAGCTTTCTAGCCTTGCTGTGGTGACTTTCATAGTGCCCTACTGTGTGCATGTCTGTATGTGTATCTGTGCTTGTCTGTTTCCCTGCCTCCCTTTTGTTTAGCGGGTGATCAGAGGCCGCAGCCAGAGCCTGGATACCATGGGGATATCTATGAGAAAGCAGCAGCCAGCCACCATGCCCAGCCGCCCGACGACAGCTGGCCTTGCTCTGAGCCAGAGTGTTGCTGAGGGCCCTAAGGCCATTGCTGCGGTAAGGTATTAGGGTGGACTGTAAAAAGAAATCTGGCATACCTTTGTGACCCACCTGTACATACTGTTTCTCTTTCACTAGTAGTTTGTCCTGCTGCCCTTCTGTTAATCTCTTTCTGTTGTATCTTTCCATTTCACAAGTGGTGAAAACATGTGTTGCAGTCTTTTTTGTCTGTGCCTATCTCTAGCGCCAGTTCATCTGTAGACTAGAGCTAAGATTGATGGAGACTGGAAGAAGAAAACAAAACATGACTCTGCATCAAACAGTTATCTCTGTTGTCCTATATTAGATCCTGTGGGTTGTCATAACTTTAAAAAAAAATGCTTGCACTGTGCTTTCACCAAAATGGTACTGTACTACTGTATGACTAGATCTGAAAACATTAGGACACTAATTTTTCCATTATTTTTTCAATTTCACCAGTCACTTATTTTTTTCTCTAAAACAAACAGATGGGCAATGTTTACTCAAAATACTCCTTCGCTGTAGACAGAATTTTCAGATTTGGAACAAACAGAAGAGTTAATAGTGTTTGGGATGAGAGAAAGAGTGAATATTTCTATACACTATCAAAGTCTGTCTTATTTGATAGGGATGCATTATAAATCTATGACAGATGTGTTTCCAGAAAAGTATCCACGTTACTAATATTGGAAATGTTGTCATGTTAGCCAAAGCATGTGCAGCTTATTGTGGTCTCTGCATTAGTCATGTCAGTAGAAGCAAACTGAAGAAAAAACAACTTTGAGTTAGCTAAGAAATTTTCAGGGTGGGAATTTCAAGGTTACCATTTACTCAATTATACGCATTCTTTGTTACCACTGCAAAGTCACAGAATGGTATTAACTTGGGCTTGCTTCTTCCTTCTCCCCTTTAACTTCTAGTTTTCACTGCCTTTTAATGATTTTTGCCTCCTTCCCTGATTTTTCTTTCTCTGTATTCTAGCTGTACATCTTGCTCTGTATCTTGTATCTCTCTGTCCCTCCCTTACCACTTGTTTGAATGTTTGCTTCAGAAACTTTCATGGACAGAAAGTATTGTTCCTTGCATTGTTGGAGCAGGATTGTGCTACTACATAGCATAGCAAAGTGAAAGAGAGAATCTGGATTAGTGTTGCAAACTCCCTTTCTGGTTCACCACAGTTTTCCTATCTCATTTCCCTTCTTCCTTCCTGTAACGCTTTCCTTTTTTCTAGTCTTTTGCCTTGCCTGGTAGGAGCCCATCACGTACTCGAACCAGCCGTTTCCATGGGCGACGGAGTAGTGCCATTGGCATTGAGAACATACAGGAGGAGAAGAGGTATAAGCTGTGGGAAGATAAGATAAGCAGAGAGAAAACAGGAGAGGGTGAGAAAAGGAATATAGAAGGGCATGGATATGCACAGAAAGGGAATAGTCAGGAATGAGAACTGAATTGGAAGTGGTTGGAATGGGAACTAAGTCCTGATTATCATCTGATATAGAGATGGATAAATAACAGAAAGCAAGAATAAAAAAAGGACATTTGGAAACAGGGAGAATCAGTATTTAAGTAAGAAGGTACAAGGCTTTGATCTGGGGGAAAAATCTGTTCTTGTTTGGTTTTGTTCTCGTGTTGAGAAGTTAAAATAGACAAAATATATTACAGAGATCACTCTAAAAAGAAATGACTCCAATTTCCATGGGAACTACAAGAGATACAAAGATACAATAACACTATTTGGTAGAGCAAATTCTTAGGGTCCAAGAGCAGTTTGGTGTATTTGATAAAATCATAACCATTCTACCATTTGTTTTTTTTTTTACTGGTCAACAGAGATGATATTTCATCTGATTCATTTGATGATATATCATCAAATCATAAAGATTGTCTCAGTTGTAGTTGCAAAGCACTTTTAAAGAGTGCACAGGTTCTCAAAAGCTATACGAGTGCCCTGCAACTGATACTCAGTTTTCCCAATTGCAAGAAATTCTGGAAATAGCTTAAAGATTGTAAGTGGCAAAAGCCATCTGTAATGTGGAAACCAGTGATTTTACAACAGGAAGAATTATTACATTTTTCTTTCTTTCAATTTATTATCTTGGAACTTAATGAGATACCTATGACATTATTTTAATAGAAATAGTATAGAACTTTCTTTGAGGAAAATAAAAATCTTTTGAGACATCTTCTCTGTGACAGTCTAAGCCAACAGAGTAGTCACAGCTCCTCAGCACTTTAGAACATTCTTCAACTGTGTGTCTCAATCTGTTACTTTATGTACCATATCATTCCCTATCCCCTTCGAAGATTTGTAGAAGTTTCCTACAACAAGGAATAAACTTAAATTCCTTTTTCTTTTCTTTGCTAGATGGCAATTGGAAAACCTTTGGGCTTACTTAGCTTTTCTTTTGCTTATTTTTAAACTTAAATGTAAGGAATGCTAAGCCTTATTTTGTGAGTTTATTTTTGGATTTTTCTGGAAGACTTTTTAGGTGGTTCCTGACGCGCAGTTTCACTTGCAATTGGTCTGATCTAATAGTTCATGGCTACTGAAAAGCAGGCATCATGCGTTCCCTCTTCCACTATCTCTTTTAGCTACCAAGTCCCATCTAATTCCTTGTGATAACTTGAATACTTATTGAGCCCTTCATGGAATTGATTTAGCCCATTAATCAACTGGGATAAGTGTCTGCCAGGTTCTACTTTGAACTAACTCATGGAAAAGTCTGAGTGCCAGAACTGCTAGAAGCTATACTCAGCAAAAGAGCCTGGAATGCAGGCTCTTTCTCTGGCCCTGGGACATAGCCTGCAACAAAATAAAGAAAGGTCACTGTTGAGTTACGTCTCTCCCATTGATTTGTTAAACTTACTTGCAGGCTCTTTCTCTGGCAGCAGTGAACTCAACAAGTCATGTGTGACTTCATCCTGAAGTTGTAGCTTAATGAAATGCAGTCTTGGATGACTGAGCTAAGCCAGTCCATCCTGCTTGTTCATGTGTCATAGAAGTTTCAGGGTTGTTCAATTTTCAAGATTGTTTTATTGGAATCATTTTCAGTGTCACAAGCAGTTGTTAGCACAAAAGAAGACATGATGAACAGTGAGGTGAAGAGTACATGTAAGATAGCTGACTAAGAGAGTACATGAGGAACTGTAAACTCCATTGCTGAAAACACCAAAAAATGTAACAAAAACCTGAGGTGGGAAATGAGTTTTCCATTCCTGTTTAAGTAACATTCCTCAATTTTAAGTTACTCACATAGACAGCTTTCTTCAGAAGTGTCTTGATAGGTACCAGAAAAAAGAAAATACTGGAACTATCCTGAAATAGAGACATTAGCTAACTTCAGTTAATCAGAAAATCCCTTATGCAATTAGTATAAAAGCTCTCTAATGAGACCTAAATCTTCTCAAGACTCATGAAATGTCTGTGTGTGTTGGGGGGAGGCGGGGGTGAGGAGGGAGTGGGCAGTGAAAGAAAAAGCTGAAGAATTTAAAGTAAAATACTGAAATTAATTTAGTCTTTTACATAAATTATATAAACTTAAAATGAGCAAAAACGTGACCATTTCTAATACACTGCCCTTAACAGCTTGTAAGGCATATGTCCTTTTCAGTACAAATACATTTGCTTTCCTTCCTGTGTATGTGAGAGATCCAGCTTTGTAATGTGGCCTGGAAGGAACACCTAGAATAGTGTGAACGGTGAACTCTGAAAATTGTGAACTCTGGCCCTGTGATATAGCTGATTTCTCTTTTTTCCAAGCAGAGACATTGCAGAGAGGGTACAGAAGATGGTAGACTGTCCAGAAACTTTGCTTGACCTGAAATCTGATGGTTCATCCAGTCCCAGCTCCCCAGAGTTCCCCAGCAGGAAGAGCAAGTGAGTTGAAAATGATTTTAATATTTGAAAGACGCTCATTGTGTTTGGTGTTGGCTTAAGAAAGAATAGTGCATGTCTTGCTCTCTTGAATGCTATAGCAAGATTGTTCACATAAGGCATTGCAACATCTTAAAAATTTAACGTCTAGTCCTGACACAGAAATTTGGAGCATGTACACAAGGAACTCAGCTTTCTTAAAAAAGACTGGGCAGCTTAAAGGTGATTTTGGCTGTATCTTGAGCATCATGTTAACTTCTATCTAATAGTATATACAAAGCATTAGCTGTCCAGTTACAAATACCCATATATATGTTTCCTTTGTAGTTTGCTCTGAAGTGATTATGGAGCTTTATGGAGAAACTTGGACAAGGGTATGCTGGGAAGCTGGGTTTATTCAAATTCTGCCTTTTTAAGCAGAGTTCATACTGCTGCTCCAAACTGACTTGAACTAGCCTGTCTTCAGTCCCCACAAGGTGTGATAGCAGGTGTTACGGTCTCTTGTATTTCATCTATGTTTTGTTGCGAAAGCACTCCATTCTGCACCCAGTGTTCTTCTGCAAAATATTGCATGGAATAGCCTACAACATAGTTCTTCACATTTCTGAAGTGCACTACAGAAACACTGTGCCCAGTGGCCATGAGGGCCAGTGCCATCCTAGCCTGCATTAGAAATAGTGTGGCCAGCAGGAGTAGGGAGGTAATCATCTCCTGTACTTGACTACTGTGTTTGGTTTTGGGCCCCTCACTACAAGAAAGACATTGAGGCCCTGGAGTGTGCCCAGAGAAGGGCAATGAAACTGGTGAGGGGTCTGGAGCACAAGTCTCATGAGGAGCAGCTGAGGGAGCTGGGATTGTTCAGTCTGGAGAAGAGGAGGCTCAGGGGAGACCTCACTGCACTCTACAACTTCCTGAAGGGAGGTTGTGATGAGGAGGGGTTTGGCCTCTTCTCCCAGGCAACAAACAGGACCCAGGGAAATGGCTACAAGTTGTACCAGAGGAGGTTTAGGCTGGACATGAGGAAAAACTTTTTCTCTCAGAGTGGTCAGGCACTGGAATGGCTGCCCAGGGAGGTGGTGGAGTCGCTGTCCCTGGCAGTGTTCAAGAGGCGTCTGGATGAGGAGCTGCGAGATACGGGTTAGTGCTTGTGGTAGCAACGGTAATGGGAGGATGGTTGGACTAGATGATTTTGTAGGTCCTTTCCAACCTTGTGATTCTACAATTATAAGATTCTATGAAAATTACACTTCCCTAGCAATGCAGAAATGCTGTTGATAAGCTGTATTATGCTAAGATGGAATCCTATCTAGGATACCTCAGTACTTTGCAGATTTCCCTCCATTACTTAAGGGGAACCTACAGGAAAGATGAGGATGGAGTCTTTATCAGGGAGTGTAGAGTTACAGCAAAAGGTAACGGTTTTAAACTAAAAGAGGATAGATTTAGATTAGAAGAAATTCTAGAGAGTGAGGCGGCACTGGAACATGTTGCCCAGAGAAACTGTGGCTGCTCCATCTCTGGAATTGTCCAAAGCCAGATTGGAAGGGGGATTTGGGCAACCAGATTTAGTGGGTGACAAACCCATCTAGAGCAAGGCAGTCAGAACTAGATGGTCTTTAAGATCCCTTCCAAGCCAAACTGTTCTATGATTCTATGAAACCACACATTTGCATTTCTCAGACACCAGAGGATGCTCTGGGTTCTGTGAAATCCAGGCTGGATGTGGCTCTGGGCAGTCTGGTCTGGTTTTTGGTGACCCTGCAAATAGCAGGGGGGTTAAAACTAGATGATCATTGTGGTCCTTTACAATCCAGGTCATTCTATGATTCTGTGATTCTAAATCAAAGACTATAGCTAACTTTCTGGAAAAGCTTAGCACACTCCTGAGAACTTGTACAAAATCTGTTGCAGAAAGGGACAGTGAGTACACTGTAGTAGGATGTATCCCTTTTTCAGTATTGGAGCTCCTTTAAAAAAAGTCAGGAAGTATACCCTAGAACCAGGCCCCTGTGGTTGTTGCTCTAGGTGCCAAGTCAGACAAGGGAGGGCCTTCATTCTAACTAGCCCCAATTCACCCAAGAATTACAGGCTGATGACTATCTGCAGGAGTTATCTACCCAATTATGTGGTGTAGGGCTGTCTAGAATTTTGTCACGGTGAAGGTGCAGAGTTCTGGTGAGTATGTTTCTATCATAGTCATTTTTGGGCTAGGTAGGTGTCATAAATTTTTCAAGGGAGGAGAATGAAAGCATAACTAGAAGATACAGAACATTTAAGATGCTAGCAGAGACACTGCTAGAGAGAATGCAGGACGTGCAACTGCTTATTGGTCAGCAGCATCCTTCTTCCAACATTACCATATAATTCCACCTCCTACTCTTCATCCTTTCTGGGAGCTTGTTAGCAAACTTCAAGTTCCTGGCTAAACACGTGTGAGGGACTGA